GAAGAAGAAGAAGAAGAAGAAGAAGAAGAAGAAGAAGAAGAAGAAGAAGGAGAAGAAGAAGAAGAAGAATGCTCTTTTATCCCTAAGAGTTTTCCCCACACACTTTCTTCGGCAGGCAGCGTCTTGTCTACCACACGCCGGCTGCAAATTCTTAGAATTTCATTCCAAATTCCAACTTAAAACCCCGGAGCAGTTGAGGGGGAATACCGTGTGGAAGAAGGTACTGTATGTATGCTTTCTCAGAACTGAATACAAAATACAGTGATACCTCGGTACTCCTCGTGAATTGGTTGCGGGATCTGCGATGAGGAGCAAAAACGGCGAGTACACAAGCGAATTTTTCCCACGAGGAATAATGAGAGTGAATTGCGAGGCAGGCGACAGAGACAAGTTCTAGCTTGCGCGTCGACTACTAAACAAACGAGGAGTAGATAGGAGTAGATAGATAGAGATAGAGAGATAGAGAGTTATAGATACAGAGATATATAGAGAGATATAGATATAGGTAGATATAGATATAAAGATATAGAGATAGAGATAGATAGAGATATATAGATAGATAGAAATAGATATAGATATAAAGATAGATATATAGAGATAGAGATAGATAAATATAAATAGATAGATAGAGATAGAGCTATATAGATAGATAGAAATAGAAATAGAGAGAGAGAGAGAGATAAAGATAGAGATATAGATAGATAGATAGATAGATAGACAGATAGATAGATAGACAGATAGGGAGAGAGAGAGAGAGAAAATAATAACACTCCTTGGAGGTGATAAAATTAAAAGAGGAGGAGACGTTTCGCAGAGTGTCCTCTGTGACAAGAGCACATCCCTAAACTGGTTAAAAAGATATTATTTTCTCAGGAAATAACTCATGCTAGTGGAATGGATCATGTCAAAAGTCTTCCTCCTGGGCTAATTTCACTATTTGGAAATAGGAAATCAAGTTCCAGACACAATGATGGATCCAGCCAATTTTTTTTTTTTAATCTTAATCAACTCCAAGCTCAACAAAGCTTAACAGCTCATAAGAATTTGGCAAGGCTAATCCTAATAAATTGGTTCTTACGCTGTGCCTCTGTCACTTGAGGGAGAGAGAGAGAGGAAGAGAAAAAGAAAAAAAAAGAAAAAAACCCTATCAGCTTCAGTTTCTCTCGCTTTCTAATTTTTTCAGTCTGGAATCGCATTCCCTTTCACCCACTTTTCACATCTGGTTGCACATTTTTAAGGCCGCACAAAAATGAGTCTGTCTTCGGAGCATGGTTTTTTTTATGCGCTGGGGTTTTTTTTTTTTTGCAAGCAACTTTCTCTAACGTTACACCTCTTGGGTTTTGATGTGCATTAATATGTTACGGTGGTGTTACATTTTTCTCTAACTTAAGCTCTTTTCTACACATCCTTTTCATCTGGCATGCTGAGCCTCCAAAGCCCACTTGTCAAAGGCCCCGTTTTTCTCCACATCTTGGTTCAAGGAGAAGGAAGAAGATCAGCGGGAAGGTTCAAACAATGTACCCCAAAACCTCCATCCATCAACCTGGCATCCCCCTGTCTTTGACTCTACTGCCATCACAAAGATACCAACCGTGGGTTGTTAAGACACAACAGCTGATTCACACACAGGGGAAAAAAACAAAACTAAGTCAAATCAACAAGAAGCACCCTTAAGGCTTGCTCCCATGTTATGAAGCCAGATGCAGCCACAATTGCAGGCTGCAACTGACAATGATTAGATGGTGGACAAAACATTTAAACTTGTCTGCCATTTAGAAATGACCTGGAAATTGGCAGCCCAGGTCAAGCAACGTCAGTTATCGTTGTCGATTTTTTTTCCTCACTTCTTTTATGAAATCCAGCTTGGAGGAATTGGGACTCATATATATGACAGGGAGTCTCTTCCTGCTCCTGGCCAATTCTGAAGCTCTGAAACAGCCACGCGGTTGGCCCCTCTGGCTCCGTTTCAAACTCTGCCAAATGGGGCCAGTGAAAAATTACTCACTTGCTTTTGTAGGAGACGTGGAGCCTGTGGTTAAGGAACACGCTCAGCCCTAAACCTGTTCTCTTGGAAGCAGGTCCTTAAAAACGTAACTTTTAATCACAGGCACTTGGCTGAAAACCGTGCAAGGATCAACATCTGCAGTGCCCAAGTAGGCTTCCTGTTCCAATCCCTGGGCCTAATCTGGATTTACCAGTGATGGAGCAAGCCACAACTTCTGCAGGTGAGTCATTCCACTGATGGAATTGTTCTCACCCTCAAGAAGTTTCTCCTTAGTTCCAGGATGGAGCCCTCTCTGACTTAACTCCTAGGATTCCCCAGCCAGCGTGCTTTAAGGTTGCTGAATAGACAATCCTAGGGCTAGAAGGGATCTTGGAGGTCTTCTAGTCCAACCTCCTGCTTAGGTAGGAGACCCTATCCCATTTTCAGACAAATGGCTGTCCAGCCTCTTCTTAAAAACTCCCAGTGATGGAGCACCTACACCTTCTGAAGGAAAGCCATTCCACTGGTTAATCCTTCTCACTGTCAGGAACTTTCTTAGTTCAAGGTTGGTTCTCTCCTTGATTAGTTTCCATCCATTGCTTCTTCTCCTGCCTTCAGGTGTTTTGGAGAGTAGCTTGACTCCTTCTTCTTTGGGGCAGCCCCACAAATATTAGAAGACTGCTGTCCTGTCCATCCCGGTCCTTCTTTTCACCAAATTAGACATCCCCAATTCCAGCCACCGTTCTTTATAATACTGCATTTTAGCCTCCAGTCTCCTAATAATATTTGCTGTCCTTCTCTGCACTCCTTTTTAAATGCTGGATTAAGAGACTTACATTCTAGTTTGCCCCTCGGCCATGGAAGCTCCCCAGGTGACTTTGGGACTGCCAGTCGCTCCTTCTCGGTCCAGCCTGCTAATAAAAGTAGAAGGAAGCTACGTTGTGCACTTCACCTGGACCTCAGGTACAAGAGGCAGAATACAAATCCAACCAACAACACCTCTTATTTTAATGCTGCTGTCTCAAGGATGGCTGTATTTGTGCTGTGGAGCACAAATTTTAGACTAAGCCAGCAATTAACAGGAGGGATTCTCACAGTGGGTCTTGAGAAACGTGTGTGTGTGTGTGTGTGTATGCGCCACAGATAATTAAAGTGAGAGCACTGTTAAAACATGCTACAGGCTAGTTTTGGCTGCACAAGCCCTGGGGCCAGGGTTTGAGAACTGCATCAATATCTTGTCTTTGTGATTAAAAAATCTGTGCTGTTTTTCTCTCTTGTCCAGCCCCAAAGCCATCCAGATTGGCAGTGGAATACTCCACGCCTGGTTCTCAGAAAATGAAGCGGTTCAGAAGTTGGGATTTGAGGCAGGCCTGCCACCTAGTGAAATTTTTATTTTATTTTATTTTTTGGGAAGGAAGGAAGCAAATTGTCCGCGGAGATTCTCAATCCTCCAAATCATGGTGGTCTCAAAGGTGCTTTCCCCCCCCCCCCAAGCTTTCGATATATTGGTGGGTTTTGGGGGTTTCAAATGAAAAGAAAATGCTGCTAGCCATAGCAGACTTATATACCGCTTCACAGTTACAGTTCTCTCTTAAAACGGTTTATAGAGTCAGCCTATTGCTCCTCCTCATTTTACAGACTTCAGAAAGATGGAAAGGGCTGAGTCCACCTTGAGCCGGTCAAGATCGAATTCCAGGCTGTGGGCAGAGTCAACCTGCAAGACTGGATTCTAACCACCGAGCCACCACTGATCGTATTCAACTCAGTTCAAATTAAATTAAATTAAATTGTTTACCTGGCTTCACCCTTTTTTTTCCCCCCTTATAATACACCCAACTACTTGGCTTCCAAGTTCCAGGATGTTCACTGGGACAAAATAAGTGGAACTTGCCTCCTGTTTCTTGTTGTTATGGTAGTCCTTTAGAGAGCGTTTTTCAACTTGGTAACTTTAAGACGTGGGCACTCCAACACTGGAGGTGTTTAAGAAGAGACTAGACAGTCACTTCTCTGAAATGGCAACAGCACTTAGACTTATATGCCGCTTCACGGTGCTTTTACAGCCCTCTCTAAG